TCTTGCCCAGACCATGTAACTTGGCTGCTTCGTGTTACTATCCAAAATTCAAGTGTTGATATTTTTTGGAATCCTTCCTTATGCTTTATGGATTTTTTAAAAAAGTATTTACAGCATTTTTATACAAGATGAAGGTCACATATGGGCCACTTTGAATATTGACATTTCCTTTTACTCTCAACTGAAGTCCCATTCCACAACACATTAGCATTCTGTTTTGCTGCCAAAGCCAAATAGTGACAGTTGCAATAATGAATATTTGCTACAGGGTGCTGGCAGAAAAATTGCGCAGAAATGCAAGCCCAAACCATCTCAAATCTTTCTCTTCTCACTGAATTTCACCCATTATTTTTAACTCCTTGTCACATGTATTGTTCCACAGCCTTTGGTTGTGTACTGCAAAGAAATTTGAATCAGGCTTTGGGAAACTATAAGAAAAGTGAATCATTTTCCTAGTTTCGCATCTATTGGGGGGAAAAGAAGGTGCAATGAAAGCCTATGGTTTATTCTTACCATACTGCACATGAGGTTAGTTGAGAGGTATAGGTTTTCTTTTTCTGTGCTCCTTCTAAATGGTTTTGAGCAACTTAATACCTTAGCATAATGGATGTTTGGATATACATCACTGACTCTAGCCTGGGCCATGCTTAGTTTCCTGTATGGTCAAATGTTTAAGATGTTATCTTTCATCATGGATAATAAATCAAGAATAATTCAAATTATCTTATGAAAACTTAAATTTTAAGGAATAAATAAATGAAGAGCACATGCAACGGAGCCAAACTGTGTTCAAATCATTGTGTTACCTGTTGGCAGCTCTGGCATTGGACAAGTTCCCGAATTTCTCCATACCTCAATTTTTTTGCTATGATGATAATACAAATGTTGTGCACCTCTTGTTTTTTATGAGGATTAAATGAGTTAATACTTGTAAATACTTTAAAAGTGCTTCCATCATGATTAGCTATTATTGTTCATTTATTCATTGTTTTCTTTTGATATTTAGTGAGTGGCCATTTCATCGCAGTATAAGTGCAAGCATATGGCAAGGAACAAAGCAGATTAAGAATTATTAAATTTATAATAACAGTTATTACTTCAAGCCTTTATGGGATGTCTTATAAACAATTTTTGCCACAAAGTACATGATCTATGTTTATTAGCCTTCTTATCCCCAATGGCTTGGGATAGAACTTAGCAAAAAATAGTTGCTTAATAAATGTTTATGAAATCAAGTTTGAGTGCATGAGTAACTGCAGGTAAAATAATAAGCACTAGATCTGGCACTGGGAGATGCAACGTCAAGTCTTAGTTACTATCTTAGAGCACTATGTGACTTTGAGAAATTTACTGAAACTTCTCTAAAAATTAAGAAAACTATGGGTCCTTTCTGACTATGATTCTACAAATTAACTTGAATGATGCACCATTTGTTGACTGGTTGTAATTCTGCTTTTCTTAAAGTAATAGACTTTAATTTTAGAATGTTAAGATTTGCAGAGAAGGTACAAGAATATATCAGAAAGTTCCCATATACCCTGCATCTGTCTTCTCTTATTGTTAACATCTCACATTAATGTGGTACATTTGTCACAACTAATGAATCAATATTCATACAATATTATTAACTAAAGCCCGTTATTTGATTTTCCAAGTTTTTACCTAATGTTCTTTTGTCCTAGAATCTCATCCAAGATCCCACATTACACTGAGTTCTCATATTTGCTCCTCTAGACTGTAATAGTTCCGAACACCTTCCTTGTTTTGATAGCCATGCTAGTTTTGAGGAGTACTGGTCAGAAATTTGATAAATGTCTTTACATTTAGGTTTGTTTTCTGTTTTTCTCATGGTTATACAGGGATTACGGAAAGGAAGACCACAGAAGTAGTTTTCATCACATCATGTCAAGGGTATATCCTGTTAACATTATCATTCATTTAAGATTCTATTTTAATGTGTGGATAATAATTATTTATAACTGGTAATTTAATGTACCATATTAAAGAAAGCATCTTTGCTATATGCAATTTTGTATGCATTGTATACAACAGTTGACTTTCTTTGAACAAGCCATAATCCTAACATATATTTACCTTACTTTCTTGGTTTAAAAAAACACTCCTTTATCACTTGAAACAAAGGTAAGTGGAAAATCCATGACTCCTTATAAATTAATAGTATTTCTATCTTTATGGAGTCAAAATCTACATATTAAATTTAAGATAAAAAATATAACTTGGTATTTCTTTCACATTAATAGATGCTTAGACAATAACAGATATATGCTTAGCTATGCGGTTAAATAAAAGTATTCCACAAAGTAGATGCATCAGAAGTTGAGTTTTTATATTAATTCCCCTAAGCCTGTCTCATGCAAGGAACTTGCCTTAAGAAATGTTAATACTTTACTAAGCCCTAGGCATAGCGAATCTGATGTCTCTAATCTTCTGTTGTCTTTGGTATAAATGAACATTATCCTCTGGGGTCAAAGAAACACCAATGTAGATGTCACAGGAATCGGAAGATTCATGATTTTGTTTATTCTATGTTTTTGTTAACAAATTGCACTATAAATAGGAAAGTTAGTTTAGGATTACTATGATCTATACTATGTGACATTTTCAAATTAAGACGAAATAAACAAGTCAATCCAGAGGAAAGGTTGTTAGAGCAGGGTATTACTAGGGAGATCTTTACCATAGTAGATTTCCATGAAGTAAATACCCACAGTATCCCACCGGCTTTAGTGTGTGGCCACACTAAGTTTAAATATAATATCTGTATTTACAATTGTCACTCCTGGTAGAGCTAGTCCTAAGAACAATTTAGTGGTTTTAGCCCACTGCTGCTTGTGACCTTACCATGGAGAATCACAGTCATGGCCAAGAGTATCATTCCCAACCTTTTTTTTTTTTTTTTTTTTTTTTTTTGCCTCAAAATCTGATTTACTTGTTCCATGAAATGCTTTGCTCTGGCTCACAATATACTACTTTTGTGACTTTGGGAAATTTTCTTAACTTCTGGAATTTTCTCATTTTCACAGCTCTATACTGTGGAATTACTTTATAAATACATACGATTTATACAGCATAAAAAATGGAACAGTTTTCTAAGTATATACAATTAAGTGTATAAAACACTTAGCAAATTAGCTATTTGTTGTTTATTCACAGATGCCTGTATACATGCTTTCAAACAATCATTTCTGGTACAGCAGGGGCAATAAACAGCTGTGGCACCATCTTAAAGGTGTCATTTTTATCCCCTCTCTAGGTTCTCTGATAAATTTTTTGGCTGTTACTTCATATTTTAATGATGAATCTTTAGCAGGCAAATAAAAACTAATCACGCAGTGGACTTTTCAGTATGCAAGGGAATAAATGTAATCTAGTGACAAAACTTGGTGTTAGGGTAATTTTGCTTCTTTTTCTCTAGCCATGAGACACGATTAGCGGCATGATTTTGAAAACTCGGTTGGTAAATGTTCTTTATAACACTGAAAGGGACTTACTTGATGATCTTAGCAGCTAAATAAGTGATTGAAAGTGTGTGAAGTGTCAGGCAAAGGAAATAAGATCCAGATGAATTCTTTTATACAACAGCCTTTAAACAAGGATTCATTTCTCTTTTTATTGACTAATGTTTCTGATGCCATATTTAGAAAGCAATAAAAAACCTCACCCCTATTCCCACACCTATGCCTGGATGAAAGGAGATATCCCAGTTAAGAGTCATTCTGTAGCTGCAGTCGACTCTTGATGGTAAGGAACCAACAGGAAGTAAGTGTTTATGCAGACAACACTTCATTGCAGACAGACCACTGATCCTTATATCCATGCCAAGTCTCTTTATCATGAACTTTTCAATGTAGCATTAGATAGTGACCATAGCAGTATATGGAATTAGAGGCAGTTTCAATAACAGATGTAGCTGGAGAGGCAGGCTTGGAATATTTTGGAGAGGAAGTTAAGGACCAGCTGGGAGACAAAAAAGTAGTATATGTGTAGATAGGATATGAGTGTAGAACTTATTTGCAATTTGTTATTGAGTATGGCAAACATTGCTAACATAACAGTGATTAGTGTACTTCGAAGGGGAGCTGTGCATACCCAAATAAAGTTAAGACAGGGTAGTTTTACTTTGGAGATTGATCTCTCCAGATTTAGCATCAGAGTTTAGAGCCAGAAGGGTTCTAGGATTACAGTGCATCAACATTTTCATAATCGACTAACTCTTAAAACAATGTGACAAAAGTACGATGTTGCCATTCTGTGAATTCCTTGTGAATAGTGGCTATTGATATCTGAATATTTTTGCCACAAACTCTCTGCATACAGCCTGGTACAGGGCATGTATTTAATAGACATGCTAGACTAGAATTCTTCTTATTTTAATATTGATGATTTTTGTACTTTGTGTTGAATTGTACCTTTTTGTAAATAGAGCAATGATTTTCTGAACTGTTGATCTGGACAAAGCAATTATGGCATCAGTGTTCTTTTTTTTTTTTTTTTTTTTTTTTGCGTAAGCACTTGCAAAAGGATCTGTATCTGTTTTTTAATAAACAAAGAATGCCAGAAGTAAAATAGACAAGTAGTCAAGAAAAAGTATCTTAAAAGCATTTATCTTTGATTTTGATTTTTTTAAGTCTAGAAAAAGGCATGTAGAAATATATATTGAGACAGTGCAATATATTATACATATTGTTGTACTAAGGATATGTGTTAACAAGAGAAATTTGTGGATGTTTATCCCATGGAATATTTTTAACTTGTGTTTATATAGATGTTCAAGAATCATGTGAAAGTGTTATTTTAGTACATGAAATTAAATACGGTCATCAATGTAAATTTTCTTATGAGATGATTGATGCAGCCTTCACATACAGCAATTGCTAACTGCTCTTATTATAAGCAGAATGCAATGTTCTCATTCCTGAATAGGGAAAGATAATACCACTGTTTTTCCCCTCCTTTTTTCTGTGTTATTTTGAATACAGACGGTACTGCAGGGACACCAGCAATATCAACAACGACAACTGTGGAAATTCGCAAAAGCAGTATCATGACAACTGAGATCACCTCTAAAGTGGAAAAAAGCCCCACGACAGCCACTGGCAATAGCTCATGTCCTTCTACTGAGACCGAGGAAGAAAAGGCAAAACGACTTCTTTACTGTTCGCTATGCAAGGTTGCTGTCAACTCCACCTCGCAGCTGGAGGCACACAACAGTGGTGAGATGCAGCGATTTCTTTTTTGTTTCTACAGCTCTGCAATTATCTTCCTCTGAATAGATTAGATCTTTTGCAGCAGGGGACAAAGAGGTGGAGGGAAACTGGCAATTATTACATGGAAATCATTAACCATTAAAAAATACAAATGACAAGCAAAGTGTCATTTATATAGGGGTAAGGGGTAGTTTCCAAGGGTTGCAGGCCATGGTGTGTGTGTGTGTGTGTGTGTGTGTGTGTGTGTGTGTGTGTGTGTG